ATATATATATATATATATATATATATATATATATTATTATTATTATTTATTTGTTTGTTTTTTTACAAGCACATAGATGTTTAACAACCCATTAAAATACACCAAAATGCAGGAAATCACATCTGCTTTATTCAAAATTATCTGGGGGAGGACCCCTTGACCCCCCGCACCACCGCGCCTGCTATTTCCGTTACAGCATTGATCAGTTTACAAATTACCGTAAGTCCTGTTACTTGGTATGACTACTCGTTATGATTCTGTTCAGTTTTCTATAATAATTTGAAGAAGTGGTAATACATTTATTATGTTCATTATAAATAGGTAAAAGTTTTAAAGTGGTTTTTGATACTGTTAAATTTCTCAAAACTGTAATTTTTAGAAATTGAAATTAAAAATGTTCGTAATTAAGTGTGCCTTGAATGAAAAATACCCCATTTTTAAAAGTATAAAAATTGTATTAACACTATAAAGAACAGGTCTTAAGTATTGATGTTACACAAATATTTCCATTGCATTAAAGAAACAAATTGAAGAAAATTATGTAATAAACATGAGGGTTATGAGCAGTCCCGGAAACTTTTTCTCTCCTGTAAGGGGTCCATGAACCTAAAATGTTTGAGAACCCCTGATCACACTTGCCCAAAGTAATACACTAAGATCTCTTTAATTTAAAACAGTGTTCTCTTTCAATCTGCTTCAATATTCATGTTTAGACTTGATCCTTATGTTTTTACCTTGTTTTGCTTTTTTAAACTTAACCTTTAGTATTTATTTAGTTCTTTTTAGCTATCATTTAGCTGATTTTAACACATTTTCTTCTTCAAATTTTAGCCTTTCTGCTTTTTTTTTACGTTAATGACTCCATTTTGGCAAATTACAGCAGTCTTTTAGCATCCGCATTGCACATGATCCTGTGTGTCAGGATGTGTGTGTGTGTTAAATCCATACTGAATACTGATGGAAAACGTTTGTAGGAAACAGAAAGATAAATCTTTTGTTCGTGGTAAGAGACATACTGGTAAATAAAAGATTATCTGGTATAAACTATAAATGCTTTACCTTAAACAGGAATTTTCTTGTTGACTTTTATTGGTTTTAAAATGTATTGACTAAATGTATTGACACAATGAACCTAGAAAAAATGAGAAAATACAGTATACGACCAACTGATCAGTTCATTGTATTGTATGCAAAGTAATTGTCTCCATAAATCCAGATATTGATTTTACGTCACAGTTTATTGTATATTTGACCTTCCACTTACTGAAATACTCACATACTAAAACAATCAACCTGGTAAGACTCATTTCTATTCCTTTAGGCTGTAAGAGGTGGATGCCTTCATCTAATCGGGCAGAACTGCAGATATTGTTTTAAAAAATATTGTTTTAAAAAATAGTTATTAAACAACGAATAAATCTGTTTCAATCTTATCGTTAGTTGCTAAAAAGAAGACAAAAAACTGAAACTTTAAAAAGAAAAATCAACTCATTTCTAGCAAGTTTGGGCAGAACTTTGTTTTTTGTTGCATTACTTGATAAATCAGCAGAAAATATGTGCATTATAATTTTACTTTTCATATTTTGATACGGGGCAGCACGGTGGCGCAACTGGTAGAGCTGCTGCCTCTCAGCGAGCAGGTCCTTGGTTCAAACCCCGGTCCAGGGGCCTCTCTGGGTGGAGTTTGCATGTTCTCTCCGTGCATGCGTGGGTTTTCTCCGGGTGCTCCGGTTTCCTCCCACAGACCAAAAACATGCATGTTAGGCTGATTGGTAACTCTAAATTGTCCCTAGGTGTGAGTGAGAGAGTGAATGGTTGTTTGTCTCGTTTGTCTCTATGTGTCCCTGTGATGGACTTGCGACCCGTCCAGGGTGTACCCCGCCCCTCGCACAGTGATTGCTGGACATGGGCACCAGCGACCCCCGTGACCCAAAATGGAATAAGCGGGTAAAGATAATGGATGGATGGATGGATGGATGGATACTTTGATACATGGAAAAACAAAACAAGCGCACTTGTTTTTCTGTAAATTCTAAATTATTGTAAGCGAAGAATTAAATGTAAAGAAAACTAAAACGAATCTATGCATTTTTCAAAAACGAGTCCTGCATCATGCGCTCCACCTCGTCCACCAGCAGTCTGTAATCTGATGGACAAACTGTGTGTCCGGTCCTGCCTCTCTCCCTCAGGCACCTCAGTGTCTCTTTGTGTCCTTCTGGTCTGGATGCAGTCATTTCCAGCTTCTCCAGCTGCTCCGTGGGATCCTGGGGAACATCTTGGGTTTTTAAGGCTTTAAACACTGCAGGGGCAAACTTGGCATGGTGAGCCGTGGAGCAAAGCACCACGGGACATGAGCCATCCTGCAGCTGATCAGCTACGACTTTTGCCACAGCGGTGTGTGTGTCCATGAGGTAGCCCGTCTGCGTGTGAACGTCGTGGATCGCGGCCAAGCAGTTGTCCTCAGAGCACCAGCCAGCCTGCACTTCCTGTTGCATCCTGCCAAGGAGATGCTTAGGAAGCTGAAAGTGCTTGTGTGTGTCTAAGCATGTGAACAAGTTGTTGACAAGTCGGCTGCTTCCGTCTGAGAGGTGGTAAATAAACCTCTCAAGGTTTGAGGGCTTGATGATATCTATTGCTGGGGAGAGGGAAGGCAGCAGAGGCCGTCCACGCAGATCGTACTCACCCGTGGTAATAAAGTTGGTTATGATCCGGTTGTGGTTGGATGCGCAGATGACTTTTCTTATGGGGACACCCATTTGCTTGGCGTACAAAGCCGACATGGCATTGCCAAAGTTACCAGTAGGGATGCAAACGTCGATGGGGTCTCCAAACTCAGTGATGCCGTCTCTGCACAGATCCAGATAGGCGGAAGAATGATAGACAACCTGCAAGAAGAGGTGCAAAGTAAAATTACACTGCAGCCTGAATTCAAATTGCAAACGTTTTTATTCTGAAACCACATTTTATCTTATCCTGATGCATGCTCAATAACCCAGGTTAAAAAATAAAAAAAAATTAAGTTACCGTATTTTTCTGTCTATAAGACGCACTTAAAATCCTTTAATTTTCTCAAAAATCAACAGTGAGCCTTATAATCCGGTGAGCCTTATTTATTAATTCAGTGTGTGCTTACTGAGCGCGAACTGATTTAATGTGTCACACGGCGCGCAAACATCTGTCAAAATGTTTTAGTTTCGCTTAATGCACCTTATAATCTGGTGCGCCTTATAATCTGAAAAATATGGTACACATTTCATCTTGTTCAGTCATTAAATAGGTAGGTTTCATACTCGTCTGCTCACTTCAGACTCATGTTCGGGCTGCTGTTTAATATACTATATTATTTTACATTATTAGTGACATCTTAGATCCTTATACACTGTTTCTTTTTATACTTTATATTTTTGCTATTTTTGGGTGTAACTTGTTACGGCCTGAGGCCATTTGGTTGAGCAAAAGTGTTTGCAGGTTGATTGCTGACTCAGCTGTGCTGTGGCCCATCTGGGATTGGCTGCTTCACTTCCTGAATCCTCCCCAGTGGACATCAATCTGCATCCTGGTTGGCTTCTTCACCTCCTGCTCCTCCAACCACAGAAGAGGCCTGCCTATTTAAACCCAGCTCTCCTGCCATTCAGGGCGGCTGTTGTTTAGAGCAGCTTGCCATTAGTATGGGTTTATGTGTCTTTGGACTTGAGTCTCTTGACGTGAATTGTTTGGCTTTGGCCAACAGTTAAACCCTGCAGTTGCTGTTGTTTGTTGGTGTTGTTTGTAAGCCTCTGAAAACGGTTAGAAGGCTTACTTGTTTACTTTTTGTTTTGACTCATTGTAAATTTGGTTTGAGTATTCGTTCACTTGGTTAACCTTAATTTTGTTATTGACTTGGTTGTGAAAACTTTATTGTAATTTGTATTTTGAAAGTACCCTCCTCTTTGTTAATGTTAAATTTTGTTTTAAACTGACCAATTAAATTATTACTTTTATTCAAACCTGTTCCATCTGGGGTTTCTAATGTTGCCTCCCCTTCTCCTAGCTGAGCCGGGTCGTAACAAACTGGGACCTTATGTACATAATTTCGTTCCACCTCATGTACCACATGTGATGCGAATGACGATAAAAGAACCTTGAACCTTGTTTTCTAGCAGGATAGATATTCTGTAATATATTAATATGATCAGATAGTTCCAGTTTTTGCAGTGTGGCGTGAACTGAGATACTGAAATGCATGACTTTTTCCATTTTTCCCCTTAAATTTATCATTTATTTATTTATTAAATACTGTATGGATTGTTTTTTTAGTTGTTTTTTTTTAGTAAACTAAAATGCATGACTATATTTCTAGAATGTTACTGATTTGGATTAAAAAATTTTCCTCCACCAACTCCTTCAACTATAAATTTATTTATTCTGAATAAAAAAGAATTGAAAAGTTGACTACAATAAGTTTACTTCCAGCTCTTATTAGGAGTGCACCGATTGCAGTTTTCTGGCCGATCATCGATTTCTAAAAAGTTTGACCTGCCGATTCTGATTTTGGCCGATACCGATTTTGTTTTATAAACGACTCTGTCAGGTGTTTTAGGTCATATCAATTTTCCAATATTATTTTGTTTAAAAACATACCCTTGAACAATATCCTAGCAACAATACAAACTTGTTTTAACTGGTCATGAGGTAGTGCTCTGAAATATAAATGAATTTCAGACAATTGTTATTAAAATTAAGAAAATCTGTAAAATCGGTTTCTCTTGCAAGTGTCAGCCGACTTCTGATTTTCCAAAATTAAGGAACGGATAAATCGGCCGGCCGATTTATCGGTGCACCCCTAGTTCTTATGGCTCTTAGTTGGAGTATGAAAACTAAATTTGTATTGGTTTTATACATATTTTCCTCACTCTTCCATGCAGAAAAAACATTATGAATTATAATGTGAAACCTGAGTGAATACATGTATTACTATATGACTTTATACAATAAATACACACACAAATAAAATGCATATAAATACACTCATGATAGACTGACACATTTGTGATGAACTCTGACACACATACAACCTAAATACACACAACTACTGTGTTGTGCTGTTTGTACTTATTCTTTACTTGCACGTTTTTGCAATCTGCTTATGTTTTGCATTTTTGCACATTACAATTTATATATATCTCTGCTGCTATAAAAATAGGAAAACTTTACGCTGCTAACCTCATATCAGAACATGTTTCTACCTCATGTACCACCTACACATGTACTAATCAACATGTGTCTATAGTCTTGTCTCTTAATTGCTTGTTTGGATTATAATGTTTAGGTTACCATATTTTTCGGACTATAAGGTGCACTTAAAATCCTTTAATTTTCTCAAAAATTGACAGCGAGCCATATAATCAGGTGTGCCTTATGTATTAATTATGGTTGTGCTTACTGACCTTGAACCAATTTTATGTGGTTATTGTAAATGAGTTGAATAAAGTTTGACTTATCTGACTGTTTTGTTTCGCTTAATGCGCCTTATAATCCAGAAAATACGGTAGGTTAGACGTCTTTTTGTATTTAATGTTCTGATGCGTATCTGTACTGTGTTGTATTTTTTTGCATGTTATGTTCTGTGTGATTCTGGATAATTGTTATTTCGTTTCGATATGTACTTATACGTAGCTGAAATGACAATAAAACCTCTGACGCTGAAATCAATTAACTATAACGTTTTTGATTTTATTAAACTTATTCATGACTTACAATATAGTGTGCTTACATTTAGTCCAATAAATTTGATTTCAACCATCTATTTGAATATTATTTATCAGCTGTTTAGCTAAGTTAGCAAAGAGATTACCAAGTGTTATAAATCTACTTAGATTTAAAGTTAGTTTATTAGCCACAAATCAAGTCTCTAACTTGTTTAGCTCTTTTTCTGTTACACTGAAAAATCAATTTATGACCTTTCCGAAATACTATTTCATTTGCAAACCGTTTCTGATGCACTTATTCAACTATATATTTTTTTGTCCATGTTTTATTCTCTTTAGACATTTTACAAACCGGATTCCAAAAAAGTTGGGACACTAAAAAAATTGTGAATAAAAACTGAATGCAATGATGTGGAGATGGCAAATGTCAATATTTTATTTGTAATATAACATAGATGACAGATCAAAAGTTTAATCTGAGTAAATGTAACATTTTAAAGGAAAAATATGTTGATTCAAAATTTCAGTGTCAACAAATCCCAAAAAAGTTGGGACAAGTAGCAATAAGTAGCTGGAAAAAGGAAATTGAGCATATAACGAACAGCTGGAAGACCAATTAACACTAATTAGGTCAATTGACAACATGATTGGGTATAAAAAGAGCTTCTCAGACTGTCAGTGTCTCTCAGAAGTCAAGATGGTAAGAGGATCACTAATTCCACCATTGTTGCGCAGAAAGATAGTGCAGCAATACCAAAATGGTGTTACCCAGCATAAAATAGCAAAGACCTTTAAGTTATCATCATCAACCGTGCATAACATCATCAAAAGATTCAGAGAATCTGGAACAATCGCTGTGCGTAAGGGTCAAGGCCGTAAAACTCTATTGGATGCTCGTGATCTCTGGGCCCTTAAATATCACTGCACCTCAAACAGGAATGCCACTGTCAAGGAAATAACAGAATGGGCTCAGGAATACTTCCAGAAAGCATAGTCAGTGAACACAATCCACCGTGCCATCCGCCGTTGCCAGCTGAAACTCTACAGTGCAAAGAGGAAGCCATTTCTAAGCAAGCTCCACAAGCTCAGACGTTTGCACTGGGCCAGGGGTCATTTAAAATGGAGTGTGGTAAAATGGAAAACTGTTCTGTGGTCAGATGAGTCACGATTTGAAGTTCTTTATGGAACACTGGGACGCCATGTCATCCGGACCAGAGAGGACAAGGATAGCCCAAGTTGTTATCAACGCTCCATTCATAAGCCTGCATCACTGATGGTATGGGGTTGCATGAGCGCTTGTGGCATGGGCAGCTTGCATGTCTGGAAAGGCACCATTAATGCAGAGAACTATGTTCAGGTTCTAGAACAACATATGCTCCCATCTAGACATCATCTCTTTCAGGGAAGACCCTGCATTTTTCAACACGATAATGCCAGACCACATTCTGCAGCAATCACAACATCATGGCTACATAGGAGAAGGATCCGGATACTGAAATGGCCAGCCTGCAGTCCAGATCTTTCACCTATAGAGAACATTTGGTGCATCATAAAGAGGAAGGTGCGACAAAGAAGGCCCAAGACGATTGAACAGTTAGAGGCCTGTATTAGACATGAATGGGAGAGCATTCCTATTTCTAAACTTGAGAAACTGGTCTCCTCTGTCCCCAGACGTCTGTTGAGTGTTGTAAGAAGAAGGGGGGATGCCACACAGTGGTAAAAATGGACTTGTCCCAACTTTTTTGGGATTTGTTGATGCTATGAAATTTGTAAACAACAGATTTTTCCCTTAAAATGATACATTCTCTCAGTTTAAACTTTTGATCTGTGATTTGTGTTCTATTCTGAATAAAATATTAGATGTTGGCACCTCCACATCATTGCATTCAGTTTTTATTCACAATTTGTTTAGTGTCCCAACTTTTTTGGAATCCGGTTTGTATATTCTAGCACTTTGAGAGTGTAAAATGTAAAGTGCAATCCAAATTGAATAAATTATTATTATTATATTTTACATACAGGATGGCCCAAGTATTTTTGTTTATTCTTAACTAACATTAATTTGAAGAAACATACTGTACTTCTAAATATATAACTTAGAAGACATCCTGATAATTTTGTAAAGTATGATTGTATTTTCTCAAAATAAGTATTTTATATTACACGACTTTATTTTTGGATTACATTTTCTTTATTGTTTGTTACACACACACACAAAAAAAAAAAAAACTTGGATATTGAGTCTGTCACCAGAACAGTCACTGATCAAATGAAGTGATTCTCATGAAATGCATGTAAGCATATAAAAAATATGAAAGTGGATAGCAATAGCATGTGCTGCTGTTGTTTGGCGTATTGTTTTTGTTCTGCTAGTGCTTAGCGCATTTTTAGTTTAGCATATTTCTTAGTTCATATCTTAGATCTTATTACTGTTTTTCCTTATAATTTATACTTTGTAACTGGGACCCTGTGTACACAAAAGACAATGTTAAAATTTTGATTTTTAAATTCACTTTTTTATTATTTAACATTTGTTTCTTTTAGCAGCATAAGTAGGTAATTCATAACCCACCTGTGGCAACAGCCGGGCCCAGTTGATGGAGTTGGCGGTGCTGAGGACAGTGCCATACTCAACAGCAAAATGCCCAGTCAGCTCCGACTCTCCAAACATCCTTTTTATGGCCTTCTGACAGAAATCAAAGTCTGAAAGGACACCGACTGCCCTGGCATTGCCTTCCCTGTAGCTCGTCATGTGAAGCTTCTGGATCCCACTCACGCCTTCTTCTGGAAAAAACACCAACAATCCAGTCCGGTTTCTGTCGGCGCCACTCAGCTGACTGAAGCCACTGAGCACAGCACTGCCAGTGTCCCCTGATGTGGCAACAAGGACGAGGAAGTTGCACATTGAAGGAAGGCAGTGAGCAAACAGCTGAGGCATCAGCTGTAAGGCAAGGTCTTTGAATGAGGCGGTGGGGCCATGAAAAAGTTCCTGAACAAACACGTTGTGGATGAGATGTTCCACCGGTGCAACTCTCTCACTGGAAAAGTTGGAGCCATACGCTTTAAATATCATTGTTCTGAGATCCGAAGCAGAGACATCCAATGGGTGGATGCACTTTTCTAGTAAAATTAACGCTCTCTCTGGATATGACATGGAAACTAGTCGAAGCCACTCGTTTTTGGCAATTCTTGGAAAGCCATTCTGAGGAACATAGAGACCTCCATCTGTAGCCAAACCCTCCACAACCACATCACTGAAGTATGTTTTCTGATTGGACAACTTTGCTCGGTCACACCTAGTAGACAGTAAGTCTCCTCATCGTGTTTTTGATACCTCTCCAGAGTTAGTAGCACCTTCTCCACCACGTCCTCCACAGTGTCTCCTGTTCCACAAAACACCCGCATGTCGAGCCATTTCTCATAAAACTGTTTCCTGTACAATAAAATGTCTCTCATGGAAACACCTGCCTCTTGGCCTACTATCCTGTTCACCTTCATCCTGTTGAGCCTCTGAATGATGTCCTCACTGTCCACATCCAGGTAAATGACGAGCCCGCTCTGGGTCACGTGCCGCATGGCCTCAGCGTGAAGAGGGTTGGAACCTGTCAGAGAAACAACACACCCAGACGCTGAGAAGTTACACAAAGCCTGACCTTCTTCCTCCAAGAAGGACTCTCCACCCACTGATGCAAGTTTGGCAGCCACTGGCATCTTCCACGTCGTCTCCAAGACGTCGTCATCAACATCGATGACGGGCAGTCCCAGTTTATGAGCCACTATCTTTGCAACTGTTGTCTTTCCTGCTCCAGGGGGACCCATGAAATAAAGGTTCTTGTTCCCAAGGGGACTGGTTTTGGTGGAAAGCCATGATTTTGATGTTGAAACTGGGACCAGGCAGCATCTGGCAGCTTTTACTGCAAGCCGACTTGCAGTCAGTAAGCCCATTCTGGAAATAAAGAAAGAACAGCAGTTTTTTTTTTTCTGTGGAAAGAAAACAAAAATATACCTCATAACATTTTATATTAAGGAGATCAAGATACAAGAAGCAGCAGACGCAACACAAACAACTTACCAAGTTTACTATTCTTTACAGTAATGTGAAAAAGGCTTAAGTCATTCCTTATTGCTTTATACTTCATTATTAAATTTTAAGGTGTTCTTAGTTTAAAGTCTTTCAAAGTTTGTCTTTGGACAGAGCTTGATGAAAAAGATTGTGAAAACAACGTTTTTCGTGTTTAACAGCTCAATTTCCAGCATAATATGTGTACAGATTGAAACACTCACATGAAAAGGTGGTTTCTCGATATTTGACCAGGATAACAAATAATTTAGTTCAGTCTGTAAATGTTTACATATTACCAGAACAATGTTTACGACAGGAAGTCAGTTTGCAGTCTTCCTTACGGCAAGCCCTTGGAGACAAAAATGTTCATTTCGCTCCAAGTAACAAAACGCATAAAAACACTATTCATTCACCAGGTATCTTTTAAAATAAAAAAATACTCATGGTAGCCTAATGATTAACCTTTAATACGTTTTTGTAAAGGCACAACTTTTATGTTTTTAGTAAAATAAAACTTGATCGACTTGGAACGCTTTTGTGCTGGTTTCAGTGCATCTTAGAAGCTCGGAATTACAATTTACAACATCAAATACCGATTTATTTGATTAACATATAAAGCTAGAAGTTATAAATTACATTATATGTTGTAACATAAAAACAATTTAAAAGAAAATAACATAAAAAGTTTAAATTTATTAATTTATTGACATATTTTTACATTAATCTGAACATTGTACCATAGTCATGAACGCCACATTTGGTTCCCTTGTTGCATAGCAACCAGTGTGTTACGCTGCGCAAATTTTACTCGACCACAAAACTCGCTGAATGTAACATTATTTCTTCGTGTTTTACGATTTATTCATCATGTCTAAACAACTTTTTCCTCAAGAAAGCGTCTACGACTATCTTGTTCCAGAGGAAGCAGATGAAGTTAAAAAACCACCAAGGTTAGTGTGCGATAACAGTCATTTACTTTGTCATTTTGCTCACGTCTATTTATTTATTTAGTTATTTATTTAACTCACGTCTATTTATTTATTTGTTTATCTCAATTAGATACTTAGAAACAATTTTAACAACATGAGAGTAACTTTTTAAAAGTGTAAATAATTAGCATTTATGGATATACAAATACTTATAAGAAATGTTTGTTTTTTGTTGCTACTTTAATCTAAATATGAATGAAGGATTTTGATCTTGCAGAACGAGCACAAAGTCACAGCATAAATAAAATAAAATAACATTCTTCAATCCAGTTAAATTCAGTTTATTTATATAGCGCCAAGTCACAACAGAAGTCGTCTCAGGGCAATGAACAGAAAATTGTATTTAATATCAGGAAAAAAGGCAACTTAATTCAGTTACAACTACTTCAAGTTGATTTTAAAAAAGCTCACCTTGGATTGTTAACAGTAATCTAATATAAAGGGGATAAAAAAGTTTTTGACCCAGTTTTATTTCATTTCCTATTAATTAAACCTTGCCGATAGTTTGGATTCAAAGTAAATGTTTTTTTCATCTGTTCTTTGTTCCTAAATGCTCCCAAAGATATGTATCTAAGTTTAGACCAGCTGTTGTTCTTGAAAACAAGTTGAGCAAAGATTCGAAGAGGACCATGGGACCAGCAAAAATAGGAGCTCCAGCTCCAGACAAGTACCTCAAGAAGCATTCGAAGGAGCCCAAACTGCCTGAAAGTGAGTTCTTCTATTAGACTGCATGGAGATTTTCCTTTTTGGTATGATTATGAGTTGATATTTTCTGTTTTATTCTTTCCCTTAGAGACAGAGTGCACAAAAAACATCTGTGGCGCCTGTACTTGCACTGAAAGAAAGCCGCCTGTCCCTGCGAGGACTGACAATCCTCTTGTGAGAATTCACACCGAGAGAGATTTTGAAAAGGCGACAGTAGCAGTGCCCATGAAGCCAACACCCACAAGTGTAGACGTCAGTACAGGACACAAACAACTCCTGGAAAACTCTGGACTCGTCCCCAAATACATCTTCAAAAAGGTAGTCTCCTACATTGCTCACAGGAATTGAAGTTATTTTAACACAGCCCTGAATGCAAAAACTTTGCTCCACTGGATCCAAGGTGGACATAAAGTGTCTTGATGCTGCTCGCAGGATTTTGGTCAAATCCCTGAGTACCTGCAGCAGCGCAGAAAGGAAGAGCAGAGGGCTCAGGAGGAGTGCGAGCGCTTGATGGAAGAGCAGAGGGAGCAGGTAGCCTTGCAACACCTATCGGACAAGAAGCGACAAGAACTCGTGGAGGTACTCAGACACACAGATCCATGGTTTCTCTCCTAAAACAGCAGAGAGTCCTACAGACATCTGGAATAACCAGAGGTGCAAAAACAATCAATTTAAAGGTCAAAGTTCATGCTCAATAATCCAGGTAGAAAATCCAACAATGTTCAGTCCGGTCATCTGGACTGCATCTTTTACTGTTGAGACTTTTCGTTCAACCTAAGAACTTCATCAATCCGGGGAGCCACAAACAATGAACTAATGAAGTCCTTTGGATGAAGGACGAAATCACCCTGCGTTAAATGTCAGGGAGTAAAAGCAAAATGGATGAACACAATCATCAACAATGAAATACCAAATGAGATCACCCTGTGTTAAATGTCAATGAGTACAGATGTGTTTTGAGGAGAGATTTAAAAGTAGAGACTGAGGTGGCCTGTCGAATGTTGATGGGCAGATTGTTCCAGAGTTTAGGGCCCATGACTGTAAACACCCGATCTCCTCTGAGCTTCAGCTGGTTTTTGGTACGGACAAAAGCAGCTGGTCTGATGATCTCAAGGCCCGAGAAGGAGCATAAGGATGAAGGAGATTGGAGAGGTATGAGGGTGCAAGGCCATTAACACACTTAAATGTCAGCAGAAGAATCTTAAAATCAACTCTGACACGCACAGGAAGCCAGTGAAGAGAGGACAGAACTGGAGTAATGTGCTCAAACCTGCGAGTTCCTGTTAGTAGCCGAGCTGCAGCATTTTGGACAAGCTGGAGACGTGAGAGAGAGACCTGACTGACCCCAGCATAAAGAGAGTTACAGTAGTCCAGCCATGTTGTAATAAATGCATGGACTAATTTTTCAAGGTCAGATCTGGACAGCACGGACTTGAGCTTATCTATCTGCCTTAGCTGAAAGAAGCTTTTTTTGAAGAACATAATTTATCTGCTTATTAAACTTAAAGTCTGAGTCTAAAACTATCCAGAGATCGACAAAGTTGTCACACATAACTGCAGAGACCTCCCAGTTGGCAGACTGGGGCACAGTTAAAATGGAGTTAATGGTGTTGAAACGAAAAACTTTGTTGGATTTATACCTGGATTACTGAGCATGAACTTTATTATTTTGAACCACTTTGGCTATGGCTGCCTCAGAGTCGACGGAGGAGAGGGCGGGCCCCAGAAGCCATCTTGTCACTAGCAAATTGGTTGGTCCACTGTGTGGGGGTGCTGTTTGTGGAACTCGGTTTGTTTGTGGCTCCTCGGATTGATGAAGTTATTTGGATGAGGGACGAAACATCTCAACAGAAAAAGCAACCGTCCAGATAACCGGATTGAACGTTGTTGGATCAACTTAAATCAGAATCAGCTTTATTGTCATTGCACTGAAGCACAACAAAATTACATTTCAGTACAGCCCATCTGAGTTAAACACAAACAAACAGACATGGGGAGACGGAGGTGTCTGAGGCCGTGGCCTCGTGGGAGGCGCTGCCTTTTTCGTTGAGACAGGAAAAGAGAAACACGGGGGAAGGGGAGGTATAAAAAAAATCATATCTCATACTGTGTTCTAGATGGGACACAGAGTGAAAGTTGCAAAAAAAAAAAAACGTGAGCACAGAAACAGCAACATGCTGATGACATCATAATACATGTATGCATGAGGAAAGCCGACGAAGGCGGTGAGTTTGCCCATGGACACTGCCAGATAGTTCCATAGTCCTTATAAGAGATTGTGCAGTGTCTATCAGCCGACTCAGCTCTGACACAGGTCTACAGATGTCCTCAGGAAGGGAGCGTATAGGGGAGGTGGGGGGAAACCTAACATTCTTTGAAAATTGCTTATTGCCCATCACCTTTCATACTAGAGCTTTAAACTAAGATTGTGCTGAGAGATCAAGAAAAAATACTGCAAGACAAGTTTCCAAACAAGTCCAAATAAATTTTCTTTTTAATTAAACTGGTTTTGACATCTGTCTAGCCGACTGTCATCACAGAGATTACGTATGTTTCTCCTCTCCAGGAACTGAAGAAGAAATGGGATGAAGTCCATGGTGTGTACCAGAAACTTCCTTTTATCATTGACACCTTGACGATGAAAACCCGCAAGACTGAGCTGGAAGAGGAGTTGAGTGAGCTGCAGAAGGACATTCAACACTTTGAGAGGTTCAAAATCATCTACACAGCTAAAGATTAGTCTCAGATGGCAGTGGATGCTTAATTCTGGAGGTTACATAGAGACAATAAAAATGACTGCATGTAATATGTTTTTTCTGTTGTCTCTGACACTACAGTAGAAACATCAAAGTCATGATTGTGCTCATTATTTTGCTTAATGTATTTTAAGGCATGTAAGTTTAATGTACAACCATCTTTCTGAAGAGATAAATCCTGTACAAAAGCAGAACACCAATTGGAAACAGATATTGGTCCAATAGAATTTAATAGCAACTTGACAGCTGTTTTAATGCACAATACTCTTGCTTAAATACATGCATGAAGTGGTTTGGCATTCTATTGTTAAAATGAGCAAGACTTTTTTTATGCCATATGTTGCTCTAGATCTTTCTGAATTAGTAAAGGAATCGTAACTTTATATTGTAGAGTTTTAGCCTCCTTTAGAGCATTAAACAAATCAAACTGATTGTTTGACCTTTTAATCGCAGAGGATTGCAAATTTCCCCAATTCAGTGTATTTTTCATTAAATAAATCTTTATTTACGTTATTCGATTGGTCAAGAGAACACATTTTATCCAGTTGCCACTATTTCAACTCTTCTAAAACCTGTTGTTCTAAAGAAAATCCATTAAGGTTTTGATGTATTTCTGGTCAGTTTGTGACCATTTAAAGATTTTATTGTTTGCAGTGTTGCAGTCTTCTTGTTTATGTCCGCTAAAGTATTCTGCAAATAAATTTAGAAATTATTCAACTGTAAAATGCAATATTTTTACTCATTGCTTACTCATTTCTGAACAAATATCTGTTTTTAACCAGGCTGAAGAGTTACTATGTACATTGTAAAATCACAAACATATTTTACAATTACTGCAGGATTGTTGCTATTTTTAGGACAACAGTAGAGAAAAGTAATTGTTACTGATAAACAATAGGGAAAACTTCTATTATAACAATATAGTAATGTTTTTGCCCTACACTTTGTGCATATTTGTGTGTTTATTATTAAAATATCTTGTGAACCACAAGATGTATTTTAGTTAAATTCATAGAGATCCATTTCAAGATGGATCTGACCTTAGAAAACACAACAAAATAGCCATAAATTAACACAATTAACATTACTAACAATTAAATTAAAATTAGGTATGTTTATAGCTGAGTCTTCTTTACAACACATACATGCACATTATGCAAGATTTTTGCCCAGAATTGTTGGAGTCAATGTGTTTGCCTGTCTGTTAGCAAAATATCTAATCTAAAGAAACTTTTAGAAAATAATCACTGGATGTAAAACTGATTAACCTTTGGAGTTAGTCCAATTCAACATGGCTGCCCGAGCTAAATTACATTTACCAAATAAAACATGGCTACACCTGTGCAGATGTTAAGATTAGATGTGGTGGTGGTAGTACTTTTTGTTCTCAGTACTCTGGGGTTTGACCAACACAGGTACAACTCCATTTTTCAAGGTGGCGGGCGATAAGCCTTCAAGGAACGGTAGGCCTTTATTTCTTCTTTTGTTGGCCATTGTAGCAAAGACCTGATCGGTGAAATTATTAGTGAGAACCATTTAAACTAGAGAAATTGCATTTCCTGCGAAAATGCAGTGTGAATGCTTATTGCAGAAGAACTTGCGGAAAAACAGCTGAAATTAGCTTGAAAAAAAAACGCTGAAATGTAGCTGAAATGGAAGAACAACCATTCATTAGCAGAAGAAATCAGAAATAACACATATTTGCTGGATTTAATTTAAAAAAGCAGAAATGAGCACAAAAAGTAGGATAACTGCTAAAAAAACGGCTGAAATTAGCAACAACAAAATAGCTGAAAACTATCTGAAAAGGCAAAAAGAAGCTTAATGTTCCAGAAGGAAGTGGAAAGAGCTGAAATGAGCTAAACAAAAATGTGGAATTAGCTGTAAAAACTAAAACTAGCATAAAAACAATTACATATTAGCTGAAATAGCAGAAAAAGCTGAAACTAGCAGGAAATAACAGAAAGGACCATAACAAGCTGAAATTAGCATAAATGAGTTCTTTAGGCTGAAATAAACAGATTATCATAACATTTTTAAATTTATCTGTAAACAGTTGGAATTAACTAAAAAATGCTAAAAATGAAGCTGAAAAATTACCAGAAGAAAGCAGATAGAACACATGTTTGCCCAAGTAGGCTTAAAGAAGCAGAAATGAGCACAAAGGAGTGGAAATTATTTTAAAATGCTGAAATTAGCCAAAAAAACAAAACAAAAAAACAACAACAACTGAAAAGTAGCTAAAAAGCAGAAAGAAGCTTAAATTACCAGAAGGAAGTGGATATAGCACATTTTTGCGAAATTAGCTAAAAAAAAATTTAAATGGGTGCAAAAAATGTGAAATTAGCTGAAAAAAAATTAGCCTAAGCATATCTAAATAGTAGCTGAAGTAGCAGAAACAGCTGAAACTTGCATGAATAAGCTGAAAGCAGCACAACACGGTGAAATTTGCAGAAAGAACTTTGAAGAAGGACAAAAAAAACCAGTTGAAATTAGCTGAAAAAAGTTTACATTTGCACAAGGAAGCTGAAAGAAGCAGAAATAGAATAAATTGTGAAAGGCGCAGTAAAAGGTTGTAAACAGATCTAAATATGTGAAGGATGTAAAATGAGCTCAATTCATTTTCTATGAGGAAAAAATATCAGAAAAGGCTAAATATTTCAAAAAGCTAAAGTTGCACCAACACCAAAAGTCATAGCTGGATTGTCCTGAAAGAGATGAACATTTTCATGTATGATGCCGAAAAAGGTATGGAAGCAAATGGATCACACTTGAGTGAATGCTTCATAAACATTCACACAAATCATTTCCTTGACTAAACACAACCACAGCACAGAACCTGAATTAAATATTGTGTCTCCTCCACCCCCCGCTATGATGACCAGTGTGTAGCGTCACATGAAGCTGATTATCAATTTAAGGCTCCAAACCAAAACAACACGTTCTTTTTTCCTAAATGACTTGAGCATGATCCAGCAGCGCATGTGGCCACGACTCCTCTGGACAACTCTGCACCACGCTCTCTTAAAGTGTCTGCTAAGAAGAAGACAAGAAACAGTAAGTGAGGATTTTGACTATTAGAATTAATATTCAGTTGGGTTTTCAGTTTATTTCATTATATGAATTGTAGTTTTAAACACTTTGCTTAAACCAAATGTAGAGTTCCATCAAACTGTCTTTTCTTCTTGTTCTAAAGATGTCCGAATGATGGTTAGACTCAAACATATGTTGTAAAGTGTGTACACTAACATGATTTTGTGTTTTTCCATTAAAGGTAGCGTGACCTCAACCAAGACTGTTTTTACCATGAATGTGCCACAAAGCACGGACAAGGCAGCAGAGAAAAGAGGAATTGTGGTAGGTAGTTCCATGTCAGGATAAATGTGTAGAAGTTTGAGGTCAGCATTAATGTCCTTATCTTTGCCATCCAAACAGACACTTTGTTGTAATTCACTGAGGAGGTATTATGAATAATTCTTTGCGTTTTGAAGGAAAAGCACATTGTGCAGAGTGTGCTTGAAAATGACTCAAGGGGAGAACAAAAGATGAGTCAAGAAGAAAAAAAATAACTATCGTATTTTTCGGCCTATAAGTCACAGTTTTTTGTATAAGTTGCATGCCCTGCAACTAGTGATGTATTTAAGTATTTTCCCCCATATTTATAAACCAATTTTTGGCTGAGATATGACCGTTTTCATTCATTCTGACTAAAAATAAAAGGTGCAGTACCATTTTCAGGCACTAGATGACAGCAGAGTAGTAGTGTAAGGCATGCCATTGTATCATCCATCCATTATCTTTACCCGTTTATTCCATTTTGGGTCACTTGGGGGTCGCTGGTGCCCATGTCCAGCAATCACTGTGCAAGGGGCGGGGTACACCCTGGACGGGTCGCAAGTCCATCACAGGGACACATAGAGACAAACGAGACAAACAACCATTCACTCTCTCACTCACACCTAGGGACAATTTAGAGTTACCAATCAGCCTAACATGCATGTTTTTGGTCTGTGGGAGGAAACCGGAGTACCCGGAGAAATCCCACGCATGCACGGAGAGAACATGCAAACTCCACCCAGAAGGACCTGTTCGCTGAGAGGCAGCAGCTCTACCAGTTGCGCCACCGTGCTGCCCGCCATTGTATCATGAAATAGGTAAATGTGGCTATAATGATAAATTCAAAAAAATTAAAGACAAAATCAACTGGACTATATTTATTATACTTCATACTTTATTGTTTTTTTCTTGAACTTTTTTGAATTTACCATGTCCTGTATGACTGAGAATCTTCACCAGCTATTAATGACACAATCGACTTGCCACACCCTTCCCATCTTCGTTCTTCTCGCTGCTTGGAGCAACCGTCAAACCAGCTGCACCGCCCCAACGAAATGCAACTAATTTGACCATTAAAGTGCATTTATTAAGCAAACGTTCAACTGACACACATCTTTGCTATAATTTTGAGCAAACAAATAATTGTTTTAGGTGTTTATCTTGTTAAATTTTGAAGAAATGAGCAGTGTTTGTCCTTCCTTTTTTTCTTCCCTATTCGTGCTCCCTTAGCACCGAGGTAGCGAATAAAGATGATTTGACTATTAAACTGCATTTATTAAGCAAACGTTAGACTGCGACACACCTTTACTATAAGTTTGTGCAAACAAATAATTGTTTTTAGGTGTTTATCTTGTTAAATTTTGAAGAAATGCGGAGGCTTTTCTATCTGCGCGTGCCTGCCGTTTCTGCAAATCAGGCTTTGGAATACCGGTACAGATGATTTGACTGTCAAAGTGCATTTATTAAGCAAAAGTTCAACTGAGACACACCTTTACTATAATTTCGAGCAAACAAATAATTGTTTTTAAGTGTTAATTTTGTTAAATTCTTGTTAAAGTCCTCCCGTGCACACTCTCGCGGCTGTCATTTGCCAGCCCATCGATTTTTGGCACAACACCGGCCCACATTTCTGGGTTCGACCCACATTTCCAGATTGTCAGTGGTAACGCGTAACAAACGCGACGCATCAGTGGTGATGCATAATAGATGCAACATATACGGCGAAGCGACATATTTATGGATTTTCCACTTTTTTAGACATATTTGGACTGATGCGACTTATAGGGCGGTGTACGTGTACGGCGGAAAATACGGTATCTACAGCACATGCACAGTATGTTTGATGTCTTTAAATTATAGGGCAAAGAAATACCAATGACCTGAGATATGCATCACCTTTCAGCTGATCATCAACTGAAGAGATCGGTTTCAGTTAGCTCTTTGTGATTTACCTTGTTAGAGCCAAAACACTTTTTATGTGTCAATCTGGGAATTGGGAGTATTTTATCAAATCTATTACCGTACTTTTCGGACTATAAGGCGCACTTAAAATCCTTTAATTTTCTGAAAAATCGACAGTGAGTCTTATAATCTGGTGTGCCTTATGTATTAATTCTGGTTGTGCTTGCTAACCTTGAACTGATTTTATGTGGTACTTGGCACTCAAAAATCTGTCAAAATGAACTTATTTCAATTAATGCACGTTATAATCCGGTGCGCCTTATAGTCTGAAAATTATGGTAGATGTTTGAACAAACTCCATCTTAGTGGTAAAGCTGCCCTAAATCCATCCATCCATCCATCCATTTTCTTTACCCCCTTATTCCATTTTGGGTCACGGGGGTCGCTGGTGCCCATGTCCAGCAATCACTGTGCGAGGGGCGGGGTACACCCTGGACGGGTCGCAAGTCCATCACAGGGCCACATAGAGACAAACGAGACAAACAACCATTCACTCTCTCACTCACACCTAGGGACAATTTAGAGTTACCAATCAGCCTAACATGCATGTTTTTGGTCTGTGGGAGGAAACCGGAGTACCCGGAGAAAACCCACGCATGCACGGAGAGAACATGCAAACTCCACCCAGAAAGGCCCCTGGACCGGGGTTTGAACCAAGGACCTGCTCGCTGAGAGGCAGCAGCTCTACCAGTTGCGCCACCGTGCTGCCTGCCCTAAATCCAATTTAAAAAATATATATATATATTTTTTTAATCATATTTTTATGTGTGCTCAAAATACTCTGAAGTCATAGTTTTGAGGTTCTCGAGCAGTCTTGAAAAGTAGAACTTTTAAATTGACCATTTTCCAGCTCTGGATAAGTTTTACAAAGAACAAGCCTAAAAAAGAAAGAAAGAAAGAAAGAAAGAAATATTTTAAAATTGCTCAATTGAGCAAAATATTTTCCACACTGGAATGATCATAGGAACCACAATGCCCACTTTTTTATTTATTTTGCCACAGCGGTTGCCAGATGCCAGAAACTGAAATGGAAAATAGATAAGTTCTTGTGTTGGACATTGTATGTAACGTCACCAATGAAATGCATTTAAGTGTTAAACTGGCTCATGAAAGAGAAGCTTAATAAACAAATGTGACTCGTGCTGGCAAAACAAGTCGTGCTCTTTACTGCAGGACTTAGTCTTTGTCTGTGTAATCTATTCTAGATTAAAGACGACTGGCCCGGCTATAGCCTGGATCTGTTCACCTACCCTGAACACTACCACAGTGACATTGAGAATGTTTATATTCCACACGGGGTCATCATGAACAGGTAAAAGCACCCCCTTCTAATTGGTTTTAACCACCTCTGCTGTGATTTAATGTGACTTCTTCTGCAGGGTAGAGCGTATCGCCCGCTACATTATGGATGACTTTGAGGATCCCAAGGTGATGGTGTTGTGCGTGCTGAAGGGAGGGTACAAGTTCTGCTCAGACCTGGTGGAGTTCATCAAGACGCTCGGCCGCAGCTCCAACCGGTACCTGGAGACGAGGGTGGAGTTTATCCGTTTGAAAAGCTACCTGGTGGGCAAAGTGCACCAAAATAACAATGAATAAGTTCTAAAAGTGCAAAAAAAAAATGTTTAAGCTTTAAAAATGCAATATTTACTGTAAATTTAAACATTTCTAGAGTTTAAACTGTTGCATGTAGGCTGACAGGTCTATTTTGTGGTTTTTCTTTACGTTTTATGGACAAAAACATGAAAGGGCATCGGGATCAAAGCTAATCTGTGGAGTCACATCTATACATGCAGTGCACATGTCTGACCACCAGATGTCGCTGTTGTTCAGGGAGGAATTAACTCAGAACACCTCCAGGATCAACATTGTGCAGCAACATCAGAGCTTAGGACATAAAACTGAGACTCCTAATTGGTGCAGTTGTTGCTGCCAAGAAAAACAGCTCATGACAGGATCTAATTCCTGGAATGTAAAAAATCTGGGAATCAAAGGAGTCGGTGATATTGCTTTACAGATTTCACCACCGTCACCTGCATTGTGTTATACTGTGGTGTATTTTGGCACAGGTCACTTACAAAACTATCAGATTTTTATTTATTAGCATGTGGTCCCAATTTTTGCAGCTTTATTCAGCCACATACAGCAGTTTGATACTAAAATGTTATTATATAATTAAAATAAATTAGAAGAGTTTGAAAAGTTAACGCCTAAAGCAGGGCTTTGTGACTTTAGAAAAACGTGACAATATTATTAAATATTGTGATGACAGTCGACCTAGATTTTCCTGTTCTGTCATGACATAAAATTTACGACAACTATTTATGAGGAATACAGTAATAAAAACTGTAAAATAAATCCAAAAGTAGTGTTACTGAGTTTAAGATGGTTAAATGTTTTGTTCTAATTGGTGGACATATTTTCTTCTGATGACTTGAATATGAGTTGGTTTGTGTTATTCTGGTCAGTGCTTCTCTTGGAGTCAGCGTCTGCGGGATCAGTAAAGTTCTATCTTATCTTATCTTATCTTAGCTTTCCTTAATGAGATTTTTTTGTTTTTTTAATGGATACGCCATATTTGGAGCCACAGCTTAAAAAAAAAATCAAAATAATTAATTTAAAGAATCAGCACCTCCAAATCAGAGGCCATGGTCCTCAACCGGAAAAGGGTGGATTGCTCTCTTCGGGTCTAGGGTGAGGTTCTGCCTCAAGCGGAGGAGTTCAAGTAGCTTGGTGTTTTGTTCATAAGTGAGGGAAGAATGGAGCGTGAGATTGACAGACAGATTGGTGCAGCATCTACAGTAGTATTGCGGACTCTGTACCGGTCCGTTGTGGTGAAGAGGGAGCTGAGCTGTAAGGTAAAGCTCTTTGTTTACTGGTCAATTTATGTTCCTATACCCTCACTTATGGCCATGAACTCTGGGTAGAGACCAAAAGAATGAGATATTGGATACAGGTGGTTGAAATGAGTTTTCTCCGCAAGGTAGCTGAACTCTCCCTTAGAGATAGGGTGAGAAGTTCAGTTATCTGGAGAGACTCGGAGTAGAACCGCTGCTCCTCCATATTGAAGGGAACCAGTTGAGGTGCTTTGGGTATCTGGTAAGCATGCTCCCTGGGTGCCCCCTAGGAAGGTGTTTCAGGCATGTCTGACTGGAAGGAGACCCCAGGAAAGACCCAGGACACGCTGGAGAGATTCTCTCATTTGGCCTGGGAACGCCTTGGAGTCCTGCCAGAAGAGCTGGCAGAGGTGGAAAGAGATGTCTGGACCTCCCTGCTCAGGACACAACCTGACTTCGGAACAAGCAGAAGATGATGGATGGATGGATGGATGGATGGATGGATGGATGGATGGATGGATGGCTTAAAAAGATAAAGCAACAATTAATATTTGTTTTATCTTTTGACTTTCCATCCATCCATCCATTTTCTTTACCCGTTTGTTCCATTTTGGGTCACGGGGGTCGCTGGTGCCCATGTCCAGCAATCACTGTGCGAGGGGCGGGGTACACCCTGGACGGGTCGCAAGTCCATCGCAGGGCCACATAGAGACAAACAACCTTTCACTCTCTCACTCACACCTAGGGACAATTTAGAGTTACCAATCAGCCTAACATGCATGTTTTTGGTCTGTGGGAGGAAACCGGAGTACCCGGAGAAAACCCACGCACGCACGGAGAGAACATGCAAACTCCACCCAGAAAGGCCCCTGGACCGGGGTTTGAACCAAGGACCTGCTCGCTGGGAGGCAGCAGCTCTACCAGTTGCACCACCGTGCTGCCCATCTTTTGACTTTATTCCACATTATAAATCTAATGTAATCAGTTTAAGCATTTCTGGAGAAGGGGCAGGTTTTACAATGATTTATTTTTTGTCCTCTACAGAATGACCAATCAACAGAGGACCTGCATATTGTTGGAAGCAGTGATCTGTCTTTTCTACATGGAAAGGTGAGTGTGGGATTACTCGTTTCGTTTTCAGAACAGAATGAACTCATCCTGAAGCAGGGGTTGTTAAAATGTGTGAGGGTTCCCATTTATTCCCAGGAGAGCAGCAGAAAATCCTCTGGATGACCTGCGTGTTTACATTAGAGCATCTAGAAACACTTTTTATGCACAACTGCAACTGAGCATTAAGACCCTGAACCAGACGTCTCAAACAAACACGCTCCCCAGAGGTAGCTTCTGTTGTTCTTCAACCAAAAAAAGACTTGTCAAGTGTGGAGCCAGGCTGTGGCATCGTGAGGAAACACACATGTCAGTCACAGCATTGTTGTCTGAGAAATGTTACAACATCAGCTAAATGTGAGCACAAACATGCTTTCTGAACAGAGCTGCACTTACTTTAGCTGAGAGGCCTTTTCTAAGTAAAAAAACAGAGGTGATATGATCTTTTTGACAATAGTCACTGAAAGAGGATGGAGAGTTGGAGTTCAGCACCACACCAACCGTCTTCATTAGCAACTTTAGATCATTCTCTTTCAACTTCTTCTCTCCTTTGTCACCATCAGTTTGGTTTACTGTGCCAGCTGTTTGTTGTTTTAAACTGTAAAATATTCTGAATGTCTGCGTCTCTCATATGCATTTAAGGCAGGAGACAATTTAGGCTCACTAAGGAGGGCTGAGTGTTAAAAACATTTTTATGCGTGTGGCATAAACAATCAGGCTGCTGCTAGTTCAAATACTTAAAAAAAAAAAATCAGAAATCTTGGAGACTGAATTAGTTTGAGATGATAATAACAAGTGTGAAAAGAGCAAGTGACAAAGAAGAAGAAACCCTGGGATGGATGTTAAAAGGATAAAAATGAAAGGAATCCAAGTACCGTAATTTCTGGACTATAAGCTGCTACTTTTTTCACAGGCTTTGAATTTACTTTAAATTCATAAATAATTTTTTTGACGAGCTAACGAGCTTTCTACTGCCAGAACTTTTAGCCTTGTCACACATGGACACTCACATAGCTGCCCAAATGTGGGTTTTGGATTTGTATCTGTAAACAGAACATCATAATAAAGTTTTGTAACTTGCGATTATTTTTGTTACAAATACAAATCTTTTTTTTTTTACAATGTTACAAATCTTTTTACACATGCAAAATATTTATGCCTGGAATTTGAGCCCATAAAGATAACTTTAGTGGTTTTAGTGCACAGGAGGAAGATGAAGATAGTGTTCATTGACTTTTCCTAGTAGGTTACTGTATTGATTTTTTTTAACCAGCTGTGTTACAGGCAATGTTCAGAAAAAAAACATTTATTGTATATTTTTGTGTATGTTACAGGTATGTATTTAATTTAAAAAATATATATATCTTTCTGTGTAAATATCTCATGTTACAACATGAACACCTGCAGCTTATATAGTACAGTCTATAAAAGTACAATCTATTTTTCTTTTTAAATTTACTGGGTGCAGATTATATTTAGGTGCACTCAATAGTCAGGAAATTACAGTATTTTATCTATTTGTAATTATTTTTCTTCATTTTACATATTGGGCCCTTAAAGTCACAGAATTACAAAAAAAAAAAGGATGTTATTTCAGTAGAGTATTTGTTCAATGTCAGATCTTCAGTTTATTTCAATTCCTCCCAATATTTTACTAAACCAACCTAATAAACTGTCTTAAAACTATGATTTAGCTTAAAATAAATGTCTTACCAAAAAAAATAGTCCAAACATGGTAATTTACCTTTTTATTTGTGATCAATGTCCACTACAATGAAAAACTAGTGACAGCCTTTCAGAAGGTGTAATCTGCAACCTCTGGCACTCAGTTTAATTGAGTTTAGCTCAGTTATTGATAAAATAAACCGTACAACATAGTCCCATAAATCATTACGTAAACTCAAGACAAAGCAAACAAATTCTTCAACAATGTATTCCCACATAGCTCAGCTCTGTTGCAGCAATTTCTTTTTGGTTTGGCACCTGATTCTAAACAGAATCAAGAATAACTGAGAAGCTTGTTTAAAAGCAGATAAATCACGAACAACCACTCACAGTGAATTCCAGTGCACATGTGCGGACCAGCTGTCTGTACAGTGTGTTTGCAGCATGCAGTGCAGCAGTCGGCTGTGCTGTGGTGTGTTTACTTGTCCCGGCTCATTGTCTGTGAGTGTTATGTAACAGCGTTCAGGTGTGGATTGGCAATGTTTTCCGGGCACTCACATTCTCTCCCATCACTCTCCCTGAACCATAGACACTCACAAAGAGTCCTCACAGCCAAAGGCATTTATTTGAGACCCGACAGGGAGGAGGGGGTTCAAGCAGCACTCTGGTGACTTTTGCTCTAACAGATGTTCATTAGTGTGAAGCAGAGAATGAGCTGTCTGTGTTTTTATTAAGGATGCTGCCAACATTGTTGCCATGGATATCGTCTCTAACAAATGCATGGAAACAGCTTTGTCTTCCATTTTTACTTTGAATAGTGTTAAAATTCAAAAAGTGTGAATTTAGTGATTTATTTTTCTTTCTTTTTTTTACATGTAACTAAGAGTGTGCTCATTGTTGAGGTGAGTGCATTTTTTTTGTATTGGTGTTATACATTATTTTATCTAGTTACTTGGAAAGCAGTTGTGTTTTGGTTGTGAAGGTTTCGGGATTGGAGTAAAAAAAAATGAAGCACAAAAACAAAGCGGTTAAAAAAAAAGAAGACATTCCTAATAGGAGCATGTATTGAAATGCAAATTAAAACAACAAACCTGCACTTGTATTTTTCGTAATCATTGAAAAATGTGCACTTCTGAGGGCGTGCAACAGAAAACCTTTGTTGATACTTGCTGTAAAAACTGGAAATTTCCTCACTTTAAGTAACCCAAATCTGAAATATGAAACAAAATATATACAGAAGGCAGGGATGTAAATGTTTTCCATGAAATAGAAAACCCGTGTGTGTGTGTGGGGGGGGGGGGGTCCTTTATCAGTCTCTTAAATGTTTTAGTTTCCTCCCTCCTCATTACGCCAGCTTCCTTTGCTCTTCCCTTCCCGCAGGCCATAGTTGACACGGGAAAGACCATGAAGGCCCTCCTGAAACATGTGGAGACCTTTGAGCCCAAAATGGTCAAGGTTGCAGGGTGAGCCACTTCTGAGTTTTTCCACTGTGAGTGAAACACTAAGCGCAGAAGCAGAAGATCATCAGTTGTACTCAGTCGGTGTCTGTGGGCTGTTCCTTTTTACTCCCAAAGATCACAGAGACAAGATAAACACCATCCAACTCGCATGGTTCATTGTGAAAGTTTAGTTCTTGCTGGATTCATGGGAGTGATGCAGAGACTTTGATCCCGTCAGTGAATTTCCCTTTGTTCTGCTATTTGTTACTATAAAAATACTTAAATGAAAATAAATGAAGAATTTACAATAATGGTTGTTCACATAGTTGACTCCAAATCTGACCATATTGAAGCTGTCCAGTTTAGATATTCATCAAAAAGATCTGAGGATGGTGCTGTTTTACAGTTTACGTACTGTGTTAAAGTAACAACAGGGTGAAAACACTAGGTCATGGTATTGTTTGGTAAACATAGTGCTTTTAACACTATCATACCCTCTGTTTAAGTACCTAACAAAGTTACAAAACATGATTTGTAGTTCCATCAATAGATGAAAGTTTTGTGATTTACCAAATCCAGATTGTTAAAGTTGACAAAAGTTACTCATTCCCCATAATAGTGATTATCGGGGTCCCACAAGGATGTTGTCTTGGGGCCCCTGCTGTATATCTGTGCACTTATTGTGTAGCTAATCACTCTTATGTTGCCAATCGAGGCAGATGGCCACTTGTCCTGAGCCTGGTTCTGCTGGAGGTTTCTTCCTCATGAAGGAGTTTTTCCTTTCCACTGTCGCCTTCAAGCTTGCTCAAGATGAGAATTTGGGAGCGTATGGTGCATGACCCGATAATTGGATCTTCTGATCAGATATGATACATTACACATCTTCTTTTTGTAGGCCCCATTTGTATTTATGTTGTTTGTGCAAACCTTTCACTGGTTTTTTTTAGCTTTTTTTTCAGTTCTATCACATCTCCAAACTTCACACGTTTTTTGCTGTACCTGTTTTATCAGACAGACCTGGAATCTAAAGAATTTGGAAACATCACCGCACATGACCTTGAATTACTGAGGACTGAGAAAACTGCTTGTTTTTATTCTTTTTATTTCAGTTCAGTTTTGCAGGCTGACAGAGTTACGGGAAAATGTATTTTATTTTATTTTGTTTACACTATTTAACTATTTGTTTCAGTTTGCTGGTGAAGAGGATCTCTAACATGACTGAAAATTTAACAGACTGTAAGTATTTATTTGTTTTACAGTCTATCATTATACTCATATTATACTTTCAATCCATCCGTTATCTTTACTCGCTTCTCCTTTTCTGGGTCGCGGGGGGTCACAGGGTCACTGTTCCCCTTATCCAGAAGAAGTCCCTGTGATGGACAGGTCTCCAGTCCATCACAGGGACACATAGAGACAAACAGCTATTCATATTCTCATCTAGGGACAATTTAGTTACCAATCAGCCTAACATGGTGGTCAGTTCAGGTTCAGGTTTGATTTATTTGTCATATGCAAAATCAGCACAAGGTCAACAATGCAATGAAACGCTGAGGACAAGAAGAACCGTCTCGATTCGCCAAAATACAACACCAAGAAATACTAAAGCATGCAATAAAAATACAAAAACAAGGCGCCAAAAAGTAGTCAGTGTTGTGGGTTTGTAATGCTGAGGTTGCAGGTTTGAGCTCAGGATCCGTTAGGAAGGGCAACCAGCATAAAACAGTTGCCAAATCTTCTGTGTGGCTTCACTCGCTGTGGCAACCCCTGAAGAAGGGAGTAACTGAAAGAAACGTTGGTTACGTACTGTAACCCCAGATTCTATGAATATAGGCGTAGCCCTTTAAGGCTGTCGCTGATGGGTTTATCCCGTTATGCAGAGCATAAGCACTGAAAAAATTTAGTCCACGCCCACCTGCTGTGTGGGCCCCACCCGGTCCGTATAAATTATGTTAAGAGCGGGAAATCGGCTCCCAAAATAGCTTTTTCTTCAGCCATTTAGGAGCCAGTGAGGCCCGACGCTTAAAGGGCTACGCCTATATTCATAGAATCTGGGGTTACAGTACGTAACCAACGTTCTATTTCATATAGGCTTCGCCCTTTAAGGCTGTCGCTGATGGGTTAAGGGCGAAGCGGATGTGGTCCTCGCCTCACTGGGTCCATTCGAACACAGTAAGAAGCGGAAGCTTGCCCAAAAAACGTCTTGTCACTCAGCTCCCCGTGTGCATAACTACGCATCGCGTAATTATGTGCCATGCACAGACGCATGTTGTGTAACTATGCGTTCTGACAAAGCATGAATGCCCCGGAAAACTTTCAACGGGAAGAAGAAGTTGAAAAGAGGGGGGGTGGGGGGCATGAACCAACTGGTTCATGGCTGAACAGTATAAACAGATTAATGTCCATGAATTGATTATTGATCAAATGAACTGATTGGTAACAATAATCATGAACTGATTAGTGACAATAGAACCAAAATCACAGACACGACTTGTGACTGATAACAACATCTCACACTGTAATGCATGCAGACAGAAGTGAGCTTAAACAGAGTTCCATGAGAACAATAATATTCATTCTGTTAGAGCATTAAGGACAGAATGTGTCATGGAACGAGCCGTTACATCACGTAGGTAAAAGCGAATAAATGAGCAGGGTGTTGACCATGCAGCCGCAGTGCAAATGTCCTGCATTGACATACCATTATGCAGAGCAGTCCAAGATGCGATACCCCTGGTCGAGTGTGCTTAGAGGTTGACAGGAGGCCCTAAATCTGATGCTCTGTAGGCTTCAGAAAAGGCCTCACACAGCCAGTGTGACAAGCGCTGGATGGATAACGGGCGACCTGTAGAAGCATCTCTATAATGCACAAACAATTGTTGAGTTTGAAACGCATTGCAGCTGTGCGCGTTATGTAACACGTCAACGCCCGCACCGGGCAGAGAAGATGAAAAGATGCTTCCTCTTCTGATCTGTGGGGGGGAAAGAGACCCCTCCAACGATATCACTCTTGATTTAAAAGAGCTCGTGATGTTTTAGGCATAAAAGCTGGGTTGGTCTTAAATCAGCTGAGCTGCCCGTCAGCCTAAATTCTAAGGCATGACGAAGCAACAGAGAGGGCAGATAATTACAACCTAGACACTCACTTATAACACTCTCACGACACATGCATATATAGGATCTGGAGTGGGCACATGATCGCACTTAGGTGGTGGGATGTACTACCATTTCCACCTCCCCGGACCTGTGCCCACTCTCATATGTAGCATGTAGACATTTAGGGTTCGGGGCGGAGATGAGGGGTGAACGGGCACCGCCTGCTCTCTGGGCAAGAGGTGGGTCTGTGCCGATCGCCACCTCATCCCCCCATTTTAAACGCACTGTATAACAACATGCATCAACACCATATTCGAGTGGGAGGAGGAGGAAGTGGGTCTGTTCATAATTTATTTATGCATATATAGATTTTTTTTTTTTTTTTTTTTTTTTTTAATCACAAACACCTCCTTTCTCTGTGTGACACTAGGGGTCTGGGATGGAGGGGGAGGGGGGCACATTGTTGGGGTCTGGGCTGTGGGTGGGCTTTGGGTCTTGGGGGCGGTCAGTGGTGGGGCCGGTGCTTCGGTTCCTCCTGGGCTGTTCCGATTCTTTTAATCTAGGTTCCTGGTTGCGATGGCCGGCACTTTGACCGGGGTGGCTGCCGGCTTTCGGCGGGGGGTCGGCTATGGTAGTGTACGTGTGGTCATTGGTGGTGTAGGGCGGCGGTTGGGGGCGTGGCTTCGCCTCATCGGGGCACTGGCTGGTCTTCCTGTGTGGCATTTGCGGTGGGGGTGCTGTGTGTGTGTGTGGGGGGGGGGGG